TTTGTTTACTATTCTCTTTGATTTCAACTTCCACTTAAAATTCAAAAAGAATAAACGAGAACAGATCAAGAGATTCCAAACTGCTCCCAACTGCATATCCTTGATCATAGCCTGAAATTGTCATAGATATGAGATAGTCACTTAAAACTCCGTTTTCTAGACATGAAGCGTGATGTGATATCTTACCAGATTGAAAGCTACAATGTTATAGAAAAGACTATTTTTTCTTCACTTTTTCAAAGAAAAAGACAGAATTGTTTTGCAATTCTGAATTGTTTCTGACGGAATTGTTTTGCAAATTTTTTCAGGTCATTTTGATTATCAGCCAACCTATTTAGAAAAATTTTTTGTTTATCATTTGTACTTATTGGTGCTTGAGCTCAAAAGCACCAAGATAGCTTGTCTATGATCGTTTCTTTGATTTTATAGGTTTTCCAAATTTTTAAACTAAAAAAACTGGAAAAATTAAATTGTTTGTTTCTAAAGATATTAGTTTCCAATTCAGACACAACAAAAGTGGCAATTCAATGATGCTCTAAAGTTTTTACTCTTCAAGGTTGAGCGCGGGCAATTTTTTTCAGATGTTCAACAAACCACCGAATAATATAAACAATGTTATTTAAGCAATTTTATCTAGAACAAGTCGGTTTAAAAGTGAAGTTTTTCGTCTAGGCCTCTTCTCACGACTTCAAAATAGATGATAGAGTATATAGGCTTGAGAATGCGAATTGCAAGTTCTGCTTCAAGTTGGGTAAAAATTTCAAGGTAGTTATACCTAGTACCGACAAGAAAACTCATTTCTAAAAAGGAGCCGAATAAAGCAAAACGGCAAAACGACTGGTCGTTGCCTCAAACCTCGGCTGCTAAAAGTTATTTGCTTAACTGGTATCCCTATTTTTCACGCTCCGGTTGTTTAAAAATTGCAAAAATTTTTTCACCAAACGAATTTCAAGTTTCCAACTAGCCAAAAAACAGAGTCTTCTAAATAATAAGTTTTTTTGTTGTAATATCGCGCCGAGGCAATATTTTCAAAACAAAAGTTTAGTGTCTTATACAATTTTTCCGTGTTTTTTGAAGATTTTGTCTCTTTCTTCAAAATTGAAAACTCCATAAACGTTACATGGCGGTCGGAACAATCAAGGCGTCGCCCTTATAAGTAGTTCTGTTGTTTTTGAAGAGGTTGAACTTTTTTTCCGACTTTTGTAAGGAAAGTAACGGAATATTTATGACGGAATCTTTTCGACTTTTAAACAAGCCTTCTTTAGCGGATTTTTTAAAAATCTCAATCATAAGATTTTGTTGTGCTGAGCTTAAATTTGAAAAGATATTTCAGTCGTGATCATTTTTTCGTTAAGTTATGAGTGTTTAAAGATTGCCATTTTGGCCACTTTGGCACAAATAACGCTCGATATGTTTTGCGCTATTAACGCGTAAACGGAGATTTAATCTGTCCTAAAATCCGTTCCAATTTGGTTCAAGAAAGCATGTATACCATAATTGATTTGTTAATAGCAGCAAAAATTATGAATTTATACTTAATACGGCGTGTGGAGGATGTTTTTTAAAAAAAATCGGAAAAATTTCATTTTAATACAATTATATTTTTCATGTTTTACTCCTGCATAGACCTTGAAACTCAGTCGGAACATTCCAGGTTTCGCCCTGATACGAGCAGTCTTTTTTGAAGCAGCAACTGAAACTTTTTCCAACATTTAAAAGACGGATGAAATTTTTGGGATTCTGGAGTTTTGTTTTCTCCAGACAAATCTCAAGTTTCTTAAGGATTTTTAACCATTGATAAGTTAATGTTGTCCTGAGCTCAAATAAAAACATTGTGTGGCCTTTGACTATTTTTGTTAAGTTATGGAGCTTAAAATTAGCCAATTTGGACAGTTTGGGACAATTAACGCCCGATATAATTTGTGCTATTAGTGTCTATGCTGAAATTCAAAACGTCTTAATAGTCGCTCCGAATGGAATTGAGGCTTGCTATTTAGTGTTTTTATTAAATTGGTGCAAAAAACTTTTTTTTACTTTAAAAGCTTTCAATCTCCGTTTTTTTTTCTTTGTTTTGAATCTTTTTCGCGAAAATTTCATCATTTTTTCAAAAGCGATCACTGCTCCATAAACATTAAAAGGCAGTCGAAATCTTCAGGTCAACCATTCACGGAACATTTAATACAACCAGCCAGTAACGGAATAATTGTGCTCGGGTGGGTTTTTTTCTTCAGACAAATTTCGAATTTTTAACTAGCCTTTTTTGACGGGATTTTTTTTATATCATTCAAAAGTATGGTTGTCCTGAGCTTAAATTTGAAAAGATATTTCACTAGTAATCTTTTTTGTCCAGTTATGAGGGTTTAAATATCACCCTTTAGGCCGCTTTCGGACAAATATAGCTCGATATGTTTTGCGCAATTAACGCGTAAGCATATCGAGCTATAAGCAATTAATCTGTCCTAAAAATTGTTCCAATTTGGTTCAAAGAAGCTTATATACCATAAATGATTTGCCATTAACAGCAAAATTTATGAATTTGTACTTAATACGGCGTGTGGTTGGATGTTTTTTTAAAAAAAATCTGAGTTTTTTTATTAGAATTATTTTTTTCATGTTTCGATTGCTGCATACACCTTAAAAGATAGTCGGAACATTCCCGGTTTCGCCCTGATACGAGCAGTCTTCTTAATTTTTGATGCGGCAACTTATATTTTTTCCAAGATTTAGAAAAAAGATGAAACTTTGTGAATTGAAATTTTGTTTTCTCCAGACATATCTCAAATTTTCTACAGACTTTTAACCATTGATAAGTTAATGTTGTCCTGAGCTCAAATGAAAAAAAATTGTTTGGCCTTTGATTATTTTTGTTAAGTTATGGATCTTAAATTTAGCCCATTTGGGACAACTAACGCCCGATATAATTTGTGCTATTAACGTCTATGCTGAAATTCAAAACGTCTTAGAAGTCGTTCCGATTGGAATTGAGGCTTGCTATTTTGTCTTTTTTTTAAATTGCTGCAAAAAATTAGCGTTTTTTTCTTTCTTTCAATAGCTTCCAATCTCATTTTTTTTCTTTGTTTTGAATCTTTTTCGCAAAAATTTCATCATTTTATCAAAAGCGATCACTGTCCCATAAACATTGAAAGGCAGTCGAAATCTTCAGGTCAACCATTCACGAAACATTTAATACAACCAGCCTTGTTGTTCCGATTTTATGACCGAAAGTAACAAAATATTTGTGCTCGGGTGGGTTTTTTTTTCGTCAGACAAAAGTCGAATTGTTAACTAACCATTTTTGCCGGACTTTTTTAAAATTGTTCAAAACGTATGGTTGTCCTGAGCTTGAATTTAAAAAGATATTTCACTTGTAATCATTTTTCGTCAAGTTATGAGGGTTTAAAGATTGCCCTTTTGGCCGCTTTGGGACAAATAACGCTCGATATGTTTTGCGCTATTAACGCGTAAGCGGAGATTTAATATGTCCTAAAAATTGTTCCAATTTAGTTCAAAGAAGCTTATTTACCATAAATGATTTGTTAATAGCAGCAAAATTTATGAATTTGTACTTAATACGGCGTGTGAGTGGATGTTTTTATGAAAAAAAACTCGGATTTTTTTTATTACAATTGTTTTTTTCATGTTTCGACTGCTGCATGCACCTTAAAAGACAGTCGAAATATTCCGGTTTTCGCCCTAATACGAGCAGTCCTGTTAATTTTTGATGCGGCAACTTAAACTTTTTCCAACATTTAGAAAAAGGATGAAGTTTTTGTGATTTTGAAGTTTTGTTTTCTCCAGACATATCTCAAATTTTCTACAGACTTTTAATCATTGATAAGTTAAGGTTGTCCTGAGCTCAATTGAAAAAAAAATGTTTGTCCTTTGATTACTTTTGTTAATTTATGGATCTTAAAATTTGGGACAATTAACGCCCGATATAATTTGGGCTTTTAACGTCTATCCTGAAACTCAAAACGTCTTAGAAGTCGTTCCGAATGGAATTGAGGCTTGCTATTTTGTGTTTTTATTAAATTGCTGCAAAAAAAACTTGCGTTTTTTTTTTCACTTTCAAAAGCTTCCAATCTCATTTTTTTTTCTTTGTTTTGAATATTTTTCGTGAAAACTTCATCATATTTTCAAACGCGATCACTATTCCATAAACATCAAAAGGCATTCGAAACCTTCAGGTCAACCACTCAGGAAACATTTGATACAACCAGCCTTGTTGTTCCGACTTTCGTACCGAAAGCAACGGGCAATTTGTACTCGGGTTGGTTTTTTTTTCTTCAGATAAATTTCTTTAATCGTATGATTGTCTTGAGCTTAACTTCGAAAAAACATTTCACCTGTGATTATTTTTTGTATGGTTATGGAGGTTTAAAAATTGCCATTTTGACCAAATTGGGACAATTAACGCGCGATATATTTCGCGCTGTTAACGCGTAAGCGGGTATTTAATCCTTCTTAGAAATTGTTCCAAATTAGTTAAAGGAGGTTTTTTTTTGCCATTATTGATGTAATACTAAGAGCCAAAACTATCATTTTGAACTTTGTATGGCGTGTGGGGTGATGATTTTCAAAAAAATTCTTAATTAAAAAAAAATTCTATTTTTTTACTTTCAATTTTATTATTAATTTTTTCATGTTATCACTGGTTCATAGACCTTAAAAAGCAGTCTGAATTTTCAGGGCTTCGCCTTGATACGAGCAGTCTTGTTCTGTATAAAGACGATCAAAATCAGAAGTTGCAGTACTATTTTACAGTGCTGGTCTGAATTCACGAACAAATTTACTTACAATTCTGGTCAAAATTATTTTTAACATTCGTGCCGAAAACATGCAAAAAACATCAATTTGTTGCAGATCTATTGTCATAAGTAATTACTTTTGAGTAGATTGTTTAAACGTTCAGTCGTTGAATAATTTCAAATTTGATTGTTGGTAGTTTTGTTGTCATATTTGTACTGCAACAATAAAAACAATAAATACAACGTAAAATAAATTTTATCAGAACAATAAAAAAACGGGACATCAATCCGATATTGATAGTAAACATGACATCCGAAACATCGTCGCTCAACGATGTAAATTACGAACTTCCGGGATGCGAAGCGAGATCAAATGAGTTGATACAGTGGAGCTCGGACAATGTAATGTGTAGCCAGCGGATTGGACTTTCAAAAACCGTCAGCGGAAACAAAGACGGTCATGACAATATCTACCAAGAGCCGGCAAATGACGGCTACTTGAGTCCGGATAATGGAAAAAAGGATAACAGCAACGGTGCAGGTCGTTGCTTGACTATCACAGTAGTTTTGCTTGCTGTGGTTGCGATTCTTCTGGTTGTAAGTGATTTAGCTTTCAGGATATCAAAAAAGGGAGAATTAAGCAATAGACCTTCCTCAAAGCCACAATTCCTTGGCATGAACAAAACATAATTCTATGGCCCAATTTTACGCGTTCAGATAAGTAAATCAGTATCTAGATAATTGTTGCTCCTTCGCCTTTAATTGACAGGGCCTTTGAAAAGCGAAACAGAAGTACTAGTACAAAAGTTTTGATTCCCCGAATGCTATCTTTGGCATCTGCGCAGAAGCGGACTTAGGATTTTCTCGTGAGATGCGGATTTTCGAATTTTGACGACCTTTTTTTTCTTTTTTTTTTGGTTGACAAAATTGCTTCTCCGCGCTGTCCCAAAACACTGAAGAGGCTTGAGCCTAGAGAAATAGCGATACCTGAGCTTAACTTAAAAAAACTTAAGCTGATTCGGGGTTCTTACAGGGCAAAAATTGCGTTATTGCACTTAAGCGGCAACATTTCCGTTTGACAAACCGTTCCATTTTAAACTTAAGCTATCAAATTGGTCTCATTGATACCATACTAGGCTCAAAATATATTACCTCGTAATTTACAAAGCATGCGGGTAAAGAGTAAAACTGCTAAGAGAAAAAAGGTCCAAAACTATAATTTTATGAACCAAAACCTACTTCATAGTCTTTAAAGCGCTGTCAGAGTCACGACTTTGGATCAAAAAGAAAGATATGTGGTCGCGCAGCTTTTTTCTCCAGAAAAAGTTCGATTTCTCAACTAGCATTTTTTGACAGACGTTTTTTTATACATGTTGAAAAATATTCATGCAACGCTGATATAATAATTTACATGTAATCAAATATTTCAAAGCTATAAAAAGTTTCAAAATTGTAAATTCAATATGTAAAACGCACGCGTGACTAATTTCATCATTGATTCTTGCTTTGGTTCCGTTTGGGATAAACTGCATTAATTTACCGCTTCCGATACACATTTATGAAAAATTGGGAATTAACGCACATCCTTTAGCTCCAGTTGGTTACAAATCTAAAATTTTACAAAAACAGTAGCTATTATTTTTTTTTTGATTTTTTTAAGCTCAAGGCAATTTTACTTTTTAGATTTTATAAAGAAAAAATCTATCCACAAATGATTACTAAAAAGAGAAGACGTGTATGGAGAGAAAAAATTGTCTTGTAAACTTTCTTGAATTTCTTCAAAATTCGTAACAATGCAATAAATTATTGTTGCCAAAAATTTTATTTTTGTGCTTCGCGTGGCCTTTTTGTCCTGTCCTGATGACAGTTTTTTTCTGCTTATTTTTTTATTTAGGAAAGAAATGATGCCTGAGCTCAAAATAAAACAATTTTTCAAAAGACTTTTGGAATTAAAAAATTGAACCTTAATTATTTCAGAATCCTAATCGGTCCAAATAAGCATCAAACTCTTTGTTTTACAAAATGTTCGGAATTAAAGTGAAGCAAAAAAAAATGGTCTCATTGATAGCATACTACGTTAAAACTATATCACTTACAAAGCGTGATGGTAAACTTTTTAGAGAAATATAAAACGACACACACTATGATTTTAAAAAACTGAAACCTAATTCATAGACATTAAGGCGCAGCCAGAACTTTTTGAGCTTTTCCGTGAGACTATCCGCGTTTTCCCGTGATATTCTTCATGTTAAGACTTTGAACAAAACAAAGAAATATTTGTGGTCGGGCTGCTTTTTTCTCCAAAGAAGAAAATTTTGGTTTATAACAAGCAGTTTTTGACAAAATGTTTTCAATACAGGTTGAGAAGTACTCATGCAGGACTGATAAAGGTATTGTACACGTAATCTACTCTTGCAAAACTATTATGCTTGAAACTTGGGACACTTTAGCGATCATAATTGGAATTGGCTTAATTCACGCGTGGTATTTATCGTCCTATCAAAGCTCAAGTCTCCAACTGATTAACTCTCTGAACACTTTGAAATGAGCTTATCGAGTAGATGGATTACTTAGGAAACATAAAAGAAGAAAAAATATCATTATTTAGCTGCAGAAGAAAAAGCGGAATATTTGTGCTTGGGTTTTTTTTTATACTTAGTTTTTTTTCAACAATTTTTAACCAAATGTTAGCAGCAAAACTGTCTATTGGGATCATTTCTTGCAAAATTATGCGCATTTGTATTTGGCTAGTTTGGCTAAATTGTCAAAGCGCAGAACACGCGTAAGCCGGGATTTATTGCGTTAATAAATGAATTGAGAAAATTCATTTAGTCCTGTTATTTGGACACATAGCGCTGAATACCTCCCCTAATTGTTCCGACTTTCGATACGAAAGTAACGGAATATTTGTGCTCGGTTTGAGTTTTTTTTCTTCGGACAAATTTCGACTTTTTAACTAACCATTTTTGACGGAATTTTTTTTATATCATTCAAAAGGTATTGTTGTCCTGAGCTTAAATTTGAAAAAATATTTCACCTGTGATCATTTTTCGTAGAGTTATGAGGGCTTAAAGGTTGCCATTTTGGCCATTTTGACCAATTTGGGAAAATAACGCGCGATATAATTCGCGCTATTAACGCGTAAGCGGATATTTAATCCGTCTTATAAATCGTTCCAAATTGGTTGAACGAAGCTTATTTGCCTGAATTGATTTGTTACAAGGAACGAAATCTCTTTTTCTGTACTTTATATGGCGTGTGGGGAAATGATTTTCACAGAAAATTTCAAGTTTTAGAACAAAAATTTCATTTTGTTTTATTTCATTTAATGTTATTACTGCTCCATAAACATTAAAAGGCAGTCGCAACATTCAGGGTTTCACCCTGATACGAGCAGTCTTGTTGCTTATTTTAGTGATATGGCGTTTGAGGAAAAATTTTAGTCAGAGAAACCCAATTTTTAGTTAGAGTAAATATTTTTGTCCCGACTTTCGATACGAAAGTAACGGAATATTTGTGGGGTGGGTTTATTTTTCTTCAGACAAATTTCGACTTTTTAACTAGCCATTTTTGACGGATATTTCTTATATCATTCGAAATTTTTTGTTGTCCTGAGCTTGAATTTGAAAAGATATTTTACCTGTGATCATTTTTCATAAAGTTACGGGGGTTTAAAGACTGCCATTTTGGCCAATTTGAGACAATTAAATCGCTATAAATTTCGCGCTATTAACGCGTAAGCGGAGATTTAATCCGTCTTAAATATCGTTCAAGATTGGTTCAATGATATCTTATGCCATAGTTGCTTTGTTAATAGGCGCAAAATCTATCACTTTGTACTTAATATGACGTGTGGGGTGATGTTTTTACATAAAAAATTTTTTCAAAATTTTTATTTTTTTATTTTTTCTATTACAATGAAATTTTTCATTTTATTAAAGCTCCATAGATCTTAAAAGGCAGTCTTGTTCAAGTATTTCGAGCAGTCTTGTTCGAGCAGTCCTGATACGAGCAGTCTTGTACAAGTATTTCGTCATGTTTTCTACCAGAAAACTTTTAAACTGGCCACAAAGTGCAGCAGGAACTTTCAAGTCTGTGACCTGATTTTCGAGTAGCCTTGATTGACTTTAAGCCCAACGGGATTTTGACGTAAAAATTGACTTAAGTGGCAGTCAGAGCATCCAAGGCTGTGTCTTGATCCGAGAAACTTTGTCGTTCTGTCTACTTTTAGGTTTGTGCTCTCTGACCTCCAGTATATCTTCGACTTTTTAACCAGTCAATTCTACGGGTTTTTTTTGCAAAATGTTTTGCTGTCATTCAAAATTTTTTTTTTGATTTTAGCTCAAATTAAAATTTACTTATTTTACTTGCAACTTTTTTTCAAACATTAATGGCGTGTTAAAGATGATCAATTTGGCCAATATGGATCAATTCTATTTCGCGCAATTTACGGGTGACTGGAGATATAAACAGTCTGAAAAGGTTGCAAAGTGGAGTGAGGCATGGTATCTGGACTTTTTCATACTTTTTGCTTTTTTAATAACTTCATTTTTTTCTTTAAAATTTTCTTCAATTTTTCTAAAGCAAACGCTACACCATACAAGTAAAGAAGCAGTGGGAACATTCAGGGCCTTACCATGGTACGAGCAGTCTTGTTTGCTTTTGAAATCAAGGTCAAGTTTGCGTCTTTCTCGGATCTGAATATAAACAAAAAAAAATAAACAATACCTGCGCTCATTTTTTTCACCTTTTTTTCAAGTATTTTTTGTATATATCTTTAGTTCACGCAGTAAAAAATGATTTCACGAGGTCATTTACGACACCATATTTAGTTTGAAATGTGAAAATTGGTTCGTTTATCTAATTTTATTTTAACAGGACAATGCAAGTTATCCTATTTTTTTCGCTATGAAGTGCTTATAAAAACAGTGTTTTGGAAAATTAGTTTATAACCAACCTGTTTGTAGAACTGTACTTGTGTCACCTATTTAGGTACTGGTCGTTGTGCTACTACTATGGACTATCTCAGCTACAAACGAAATTTCTCGACTCCGATCGGATTTGGATGAGGTCAAACAACAATCGAAAAACGAGGACTCAAACTCTACGACTAATGGGTCTGCTTCTTCTGAGGTTTGTCAGTGTTATCAAAAAATTTTACACTCTTTTTGATTTAGTATTAACAAATTTGGCTCTAAACTTAACGATTTATCAAAAGTGAATTTAAATATCGAAACTGAGAAAAAGCCTTCTCGCCGTCGGTGTTAAAACGAATGCAACAAAGTAAACTGTGGAAAAGTTTCTGCAACGAAAGATATATAATTCCTCGTATAATTTGAATCAAACGGCTAAGTATTGAAGTATAAAAAAGTTTTGGAACTTGGAACACTGTTTTAAAAAAAAAGTTTTGCACACTGAACTCAAATTAAAAGAAGTATCATTAAAAAATCGGTTTGCAGATCCCAGTAATCACTTGCAAATATTTGACACAAAGAATGTATATTTTTTCTGTTTTTTTTTCTGGAACTTTATCTGCTTCATCTCTGATTCATCAATTTATTAAGCCGATGCTAGGCGGAAATTATGAGAATTGCAGCGTTTGCTCATAAAAAACAGGAGTTTAGAAGCCAGCGGCTCGTGAAAATCTCTATCGGACTTCCGAACAAAAATTTCAATTTGATGGAACATTTTTTCAGAAAAATGGAATTCGAACAACAAACAAACCATTCCCTTGCATCTATATTGATCTTACCCATGATCAAATTACCGTAAAAAATTGAACGAGCGTTTTCATTAACGTAATTAGTTGCTCAATTTTTTTATAGCAGCTTGTTTCTAGCAAAGCAATCCGAAAAAAAAACACTATTCAGTTGATTTTGTCTGGAAAAGTATCTATTTTATACTTACGAAAACACTCAGTTTTTTAGTAGGAAAGTGAGTAGTTTTGACTCTTATATTTGCCAATTTTTTCCCATTGCAATAACCTATATTGTGTTGCTAACTTTGTGATCAAAGTCCGACATCAGAACCAGAGTAGATGGACTTTTTGTTCTACACAAAACTGGACTTTTCTTAAAAATATTTCGAAATTTTGTTCCCCAATAACAGCCTTGTTTTGGTGTTATTAATAGTCTTTCCGAGAATCTTCATTATGTATTTTTAATTTACTATGAAAAATTTTAATGATAATTAGAATTTTTTTGGATATCTTTAAAGATCTTGATGATGCTGGAACCTGATCCAAACTGTAGATTATTATTGTTTATAAATTAGATATTTTATCCCTATAAAATATTGAAGACTAACCAATCATACTCCATCTAACTAACAACCCATTTATTTGTAAGTGCTGAAACTACTTGTAGTTTCAGCATCAGAGAATTCTGAATTTAACTTACAGCTTAGTTGTTTTTTCGAAGAGACCAACTCGTAACAAACCAGTATACTCTAGATCTATTGAGACTAAGAGATATAAGAGTAAGATTAAGATCGGTATTAGAATCTATCCGGCCGAAAATAAGATAGCGTGACGAGCAGATTGAGTTATGACCGAAGGGTATAACTCATAGAGTAATTTCGGATAGGGTACACCGTCTGCTCGTCACGCTATCTTATTTTCGGCCGGATAGATTCGTGCAACTTCTTAGTCGAATACCGATCCTAATCTTACTCTTATACTATCTAGTCTCAGGTTGTTTAACTAGTCTCTGCTAGGCTCAATAGATCTAGGGTATACTGGTTTATTGCGGTTGCTGAAGTCTTCTTGGAGAGTCAACTAATTTCTAAGTTAAATTCAAATCTCTCTGGTGCTGAAATTACAAGTAATTCCAGCACTTACAAATAAGTGGGTTGTTAGTTAGATGGATCATGATTGGTTAATATTAAATACTTTACATTGGTAAAATATGTAATTTATCCAATCATAAAATGTAGTTTAGATCAGGTTCCACCCATCCGGGTTTTACAGAGTTTTTTAGAATAGTCTTTCTGCAATTCAAAGGATGGATGATGGACGTTGGTATTTGGCGAACATCATATTTCTTCTGGGTTCTCTTGTTAGAGAAGTTCCAGGTTCGATCGTTGTGTCATCTCATGACAACGACTGGGTCTTTGCAACAAACTCAAATCTGATTTCAGAATGGTTGGCTATGTCAGGTTTTTCTGTTTCATTAATGAGAACTTCTTTGTGTTTTGATCTTGTCTAGGAATGGCGTGGAGATTGTGCATGGAGGGGATGCCTGGTTACTCGGATCTGTACGTATACTTGAACATCGAGGTGGTCATTGGTCTAGTTCAATGAAGTCCTTTTCTGCGAAGTCAAGTCGTACTCTAAATCCTTTGAGTTGTGATTGTGAGCGGCATATTGATTGTAGTTGGCCATTCTTTTTCGAGTGTAGTGGGGTCGTTTTGTCTTTGGATGTTCGTCCTTGGTGTTGTATTCTGATCTATGTATTGCATAATGTAATTTACATTTTATAAAACTTTTATTAGTTTAATATTTTTTAATTATGATTTTAGTTAGTTGTTTTCACAAAAGCTTTTTGTTTTAGTTCAGTTATATTGAAGAGTTACTCACCCTTGAGTAGCTCTTATTAAAAATAGGAGTGTGGTCACAAAGCGTGGATGTAGCACGGTGGGTTAGGCCGGCTATAGAGCATGCTCAGGACGTCCTTCCTGGTGGGTTAGGCCAGGAGTGGGAGTATGATTGCATGCGGTTTTTGTGAGAGGTCCTGTTATGTGACAACGTTTTATGTTGGGTTTGTTGTGGTTTTTCTTATGTTTTGTTGGTTGTGTCCTTTTTTCAAAAATCAAATTGTTTGTGGTATGGGTTTGTCTTTCGACTTTTTTGTGTTTTATTATTTCTTTCTTAGACTTTATAATAGTCTTCAAAAGAATAAATTATCCAGTTTTAAACTGGGTTAATCCGGTTTGGGTACCGTTGGTTTCCTTTTTCTTAGTCATGCTGTTATGCTATGTGTTGTGGTGTTTAGTAAGCTGCATTGGTTAGTTTTGCTTAGTATATAATTCCTTTCCAACCGGGTTAAAGGAAAGTTTGAAACTTGTTATCGTGTGTTAGAGTTGTTGAGTTGTGAAAGCTTGAAACTGAAATTCATTATTTAAACAATTCTTCGTGGGCGAGCTGTGCGAGTTTGGATAGAATTCTTGTGCGAGTGAATGAAAATATATCAAAAGGTTAGTACTGCATTTTCTTCTTATTAATTTACTACATAGAATTTTTAATTTTACTGCTAGTTGTTGGGGAAAATTACGTTACAAATTTTCATCATTTTTAGATTTACTGCTTGTGGGGGAAAAATTTATAAATTAAATTACTGCATTGGTATTATATTTATTTAATTAATTGGTGTAAAAATTAATAGAGTTTTAAACAGTTTGAAGAAGTTTTCAATTTTTATTTTAATTTGTGAATTTTTCAGATGATCGTTGGGTGAAGGCTAAAATTCTAAAGAATACATGGATAAAGAATGGTGAGTTTCTAATGTTATAATTAGTTAGTAATATGTATAATTCATACTTACCTGTTAGTCGTCGGGGAAGAAACCGTGGGGGAAGATGTCGTGGATGAGATCTGAAGTTGTTAGTAATTTAGCTAAAATGCGGATGATATTTTTAGTTTGAAGTAGTGGCCAAAGCAATTGAAGTGCTTTAATGGTGGTTAGTTCTTCAGTGCCAACTGCAAATTCATAAGGTGTGTTTTGGATTAGATTATATAATTTGTGATTGAATTTAGTGTTATGGATGAATTCTAAAATGGGGATTTCTATAGGTTGTACAAACTCGTGTGGGATAAGGAAGGGTCGGGATTCTTCTGCGTTGAAGGTATTGGTGATGGGACAAAAAATATACATTTGGGTTATGGGATCATAATTTCGAAGAATACCATGAAGGTTAGTACCTTTAATGCAATATGTGAAGTTAAGAAAGAATGGTGAGGTGTATTTGGAATTGATAAATTGAAAACGATGGTGTGGTTGTCTGGAGGGAGTGTGTAGGTCGAAGTGATTTTGGATAAAACGATAATAAGTATATGTGTGTGTTTGTTTAGTGCGCAACATAATATCGTGTGAGCAGTGCAAATCTCTTTCATGTGGTGCAAGGAAATGAAAGGTTAGTGAAAATATTTGGAAGCGTTCTTTAAAACTTTCGTAGGCTTGTGTGTCTGTTAGTGCTTCTGAAATAATGTGGTCAAACTTGCGATCGAAGATATTTAGTGTAAATACATATGGTGTTTTAATAAAAAATTTCTCGGTGATTTGTGGGTTAGCGAAGCGATCGTCGTCTAAGAATTGATCTTGGTTAGTTCTGATGATGTTGTGATCGTAATATTCTAGTGTATATTCATTTGCTCGGGGTGCAGTGTGTGTTTTTAGTGATTTTTTGTATCCAATATAAGTAAATTGTCTAGATGTTAGTGGTGTAGTGAGTCGATATAGCATGTCCTTATTTCGTTCTATATCGATGTTAGTGCTAGATAAAGGTAAGCAAAGGGGATTAGTAAAACGATAATATGAGGTCCAAGGAAGGGTAGGCATTAAAACGTGTTCGTCTACAAAGTTACGTGTCTCGTTAGTGTCGTGAGGGGTGTTTAAGGTGTATTGTGGAAATGAGGGTAAGGTGATAGCTAAAAATTCTTTTGTGTTAGTGTGTTTTGGATGGTTGATATATTCACGGGCTGTTCCTGGTTTCGTTGGGAAAGGATGGTTGGGGAACTTTCTTTTAAAAGTGCGGTAAGCTCTATTAGTGCTGAGTGAAGATTCAGTAGATGTGGATGATGGTGCTAATGATTCAGTATAAATTGAAGAGGCTGTAGGGGTAGGAGGGTTGGATGAATCTATTGTGGATGAGATTTGGTTTATGGTTGGGATGTCAAGGTGATAGGGTTGTTGTTGTAGGGTAATGAAATTATCTAGTTCTGGGGAGATTCGGGGGGTATCTGGAGAATGAGATGATTGGTCTGAGTGAAGTGAGGAGTAGGTTGGAGTGACTTGGGAAGCATAAGAGGGTGTAGAATTGGTTGGGTCAGGGTTATTTGGTAATATGGGTTGAAAAGGGGGTTGGGAAAAAATTGAGGGGTTGGTGGGAAAATTATTGGATGGAGATGGTTCAGAGTC